CCAGGAGCTTTTGTCCATTTCCTCAGGAAGTTTTTTCTAGGAAGGAAACCCAGGTACTGGCTGTTGTGGGTTTTTCCGGCTTTTTCTCTCTGTCCCCCCCCCCCCCCACCGGCTGGCAGAAAAAGCATGGCACTACCAGGATTCCATGTGGTCTCTTCCTGCACAGTTTTACCACTGGCAAGATAGAGATTCTTCTCCTTCCAAGACTGCAGCAAGGCATCTTCAGGATGTTTCCCATTTGTAAGCTGGGACCTGGTCCTGGAAGTGAATGCTTTAATGCTTGGTTGATCCCACACTTGGAAAACCCTGTCAAGGAGATTCAACTTCCTTGTTAACTCAGTGTAATGGGTCCAACAGCTGATTGAACTCCGTTGGCACATGCTGCACTAGAATGAAGATGTGTCAGACACACCAGTACCATAAAGTTGCCATGTCTACAAGCTGTAAGGATCTAGTATCCCCTTGTTTGTGCACCACACTGTGTAATTGTCAGAGGCAACCTGCACTGCAAAAACTGTGGCTTTGAACACTGCCAATAGTTCCAGAAAATTTATATATTTTGCCTTTCTCTGAGAGCCAGTGGCCATGAATGTATTTGCTTAATTTTGATGGTGAGGCTGGTTTGCGTGATTTTATTATTTTTAGCTAAATGTAGGTAAAAGATGACGCTGTTAAGGTGCTACATTCAATATGCCATCAAGTTTGGAAAACTCAGCAGTGGCCAGAGGACTGGAAAAGATCAGTCTACATACCAATCCCAAAGAAGGGCAGTGCCAAAGAATGCTCCAACTACCGTTCAATTGCACTCATTTCCCATGCTAGCAAGGTTATGCTCAAAATCCTCCAAGGTAGGATTCAGCAGTATGTGGACCGAGAACTCCCAGAAGTGCAAGTTGGATTCCGAAGGGGTAGAGGAACTAGAGACCAAATTGCTAACATGCGCTGGATTATGGAGATAGCCAGAGAGTTCCAGAAAAACATCTACTTCTGCTTCATTGATTATGCAAAAGCCTTTGACTGTGTGGACCACGGCAAACTATGGCAAGTCCTTAAAGAAATGGGAGTGCCTGACCACCTTATCTATCTCCTGAGAAAACTATACGTGGGACAGGAAGCAACAGTTAGAACTGGATACAGAAACACTGATTGGTTCAAAATTGGGAAAGGAGTACGACAAGGCTGTATATTGTCCCCCTGCTTATTTAACTTATATGCAGAATACATCATGCGAAAGGCAGGACTGGAGGAATCCCAAGCCGTAATTGCCAGAAGAAATATCAACAACCTCCAATATGCAGATGATACC